CCAACACACACACTACTATATATATATATATATATATATACTACTACACCTACCACCCACCCACCCACCCACCACCTACTACTATATATATATATATATATATATATATATATATATATATATATATATATATATATATATATATATATATATATATATATATATATATATATATATATGTATATATTAAACCAAGCATACAATATTGACTAACTAATAATCAAACGGTCGTCCGAGTGTTGCACCAGGCATAGACTTATATATAGGTTCTCTGGGTAGGAATAATCCTTTGTAAGTACTTGTGATAAGTGCATTGATACACTCAAACATAACCAGATATAGAATGCCATCGAATGCAAGCAAGTACTCTGTATCAATTTACTCATGAAGCATGGCCAATTAACTTGTCCAAGAGAGCAAATAATCGCTATTCTAGCACACTAGAGAAGTCCCTGTGGCAATACTATTATACAATCATCTCCATTTCTGATAGAAGCAAACACGAGTGCACCAAGAGAATAGCTTTATAGGACTATGACGACATGTGCGTTGACCAAATGCACATTTTGTTCTCAGGAGGCAATTTCAAGCAGGCGCGGAGTTCAATCGCATACCTTAAAGTTAACGTTGAACAAGAGATTGAGCAACGTGCTTTTCCCCCCAGACTGGGGCCCCAGAATTGAAACAACATTATAATCCAACCCAGACGCGTAGAAGTTGCCCGAGAATTTTTCCATCTGATCTTTACAAGTGGGATTGAACGAGTAGTCCTCTTGTACAATCTGCACTAAATCCAATGTTTCCGGTGTTGTGTTTGTCGAGGCTACCACCTCTTCAGCAGAAGGTGCTGTGGTTGTAGGGTCAGCCATCGTAATAGTCTTATCTCTCTCTGAGTGCTAACACTCGTCCGCAATGTAAGACAAGTATAGCTGTATCGTATGTTTCATACACAAAGATGAATATGACGCCCTTTAAAAAACAGTGTTCACATAATTTTTGGAGCCTATCCGAGGTGGCTGGTCCTGGACTTCACAGATTGTCGATGAATCCCGATTGTTTTTTTTTGATTTATCACCAAAAAATAATCGGATCAATATTCTTGTTTTATTCATTATTATTGTCGGTAGGCTAAAAATATTTAAATATGTATGATATTCTCGATTTTGTTTTTGTTTGAAAAAAAGTATATTCATCATTGTTGACATTGGGTGATTATGTGGGTCGGACTTGACAGTTGCCACACACACGCTATATAAAGTTTTAGAAGAAAAAAAACCCCTTTCTGGGGCTTCTGGGGCTTCTGGGGGTTGTGTCCTTATATATTCAGCCGGGGTCTCATTTTTGATTTTTTTGGTCCGGCTTGTAGGACTGAGTCTTGTGTTCGGATTATTTCTAAAAAAACCCCAGAAGACTTGTCCGGCACTTTTAGAGTTATTAAAAACATTCTGTTTTTCATTGTAAAAAATAAATACAAAAGTCGAAAAAAGGGTTGATTTGAAGATATATATATTCATAAAAAGGTCACCTGGTGGCTGGTGGCTGGTGCGGGTGCTGGTATTTACTGGTGCAGCGCTAAGGTGACTATATTTGCCGACTAACCTATAATATTTGAATATCACGGTATTGTTCACCCCTGTAAATAGACTCTCTCCCTGTAGTTCATGACCTCAGGGTGTGCACGTACACATACAACAAGTATATAGTTGGATACATAGTCTATAATCTGACTTAGTTGTTTTGAGGGCAATATGGTCACAAAGTTGAATGATAATGCCGAGAAGCTCGTGCTGGATATCATTAGCCGCTTTCAAAGAAGGTGAGGGAAAGTACGATGCACACACATATCAACGCAGTAAGAGCACATATGATTCCATACGAAGTAAGAAACATGATCCACCAAATAGGTCCAGCTTATTTATTCTAGGTGTTTACATTCGCATACGTTTGAAGTCGCGTACTTACAAACATATATATGTATTGTTCCTAGCATTTACTCATTTAGGTACATTATGTATGGAGCACACGAGTATATACATACTGACGACAGACAGAGCAGTAAATATGTATCAAAATGTATAACTATATTTGTACGAATAAACTCACACACACACACACACACACACACGCACACACACACATACACTCACACACGCACACACACACACACACACACACACACATATATATATATATATATATAGATTCATATGCATAATATATATATATAAATACGCACATTCACATACGCACACACAATATATACATATATACATGCATATATA